AGACAAAGTAGCAGAGGAAGAGTTATTGCAAATGAACTGATGCAAAGGGAGGATAAAACCTCTTATTGTCTGGCGTGGGATGGGTTATCACCAGGATCCTGACAAGAGCGTGTTTTAGGTTTMGTGTAGGATGACTACGTGAAGTTGTTTCTAAGGAAACTGGTGCTGGGAGAATAAGGTAACGTTTCTGTGGCTAACCTATGTGTGTGTGTATATATTTTTTTTAGTGTGTTAGGTCCTTGTAATAGAATAATTGTGTGTTTTGTGGTATTTAAGACTGCAGGGTAATGTCTTMATTATTATTGTTTCAAAAATCCTGTAAGTCATGTAGAGGAGCATTTTCTTCATTTACAGAAGATAAGTTTCTTTTTCCACATTCTTGATCATTTCAACTCTCCTCTTTACTGCTTAATTTGTTGCATGACCTCCTTACAGAGGGATTTAGTAATAAGGGTACAATTGTGTTTTATTCAGGTTCTGCTTATTTGCTTCTGTGAGGCAAATGRGACTTCAATTTTTCTCTATAGAGTCACCTGACTTCTGCAGTTCTCTACAACTACTCTGTACAATACTATGAAAACTAGGAAAAGATCAGCTTTAAAGTAGTTTTGAAAACTGATACATAGTGTCTCTTTTCAGTGTTGTGTTTTCATTCACAYTGCCCTAATTGTTTGCCTTCTGCAGTTTTGTATCCGTAAAGCACAGTTTCACTGTAGTAATGGTAGAAAGAAGGTTGGCAGCTGATCTTTGTGGTGCTTGAAAAGGCACAGAAGATGCTTTAGAGCTTMAAATTACTTAGAGGAGGGGTTTTGGAACAGATGGGCTGTACCTTTTCTTCTTGCTACATTTTTTGGCAGCAGCTGAAATTTATGTGACCTTTTTGATAAGAAATKGGTATCTTACTGTGCAAGTATGGTATGRAAGTTTACAAGACTATTATCAATCATCTTTGACTTCACTGTGATAAGGCTTTCACCCATTGTTTCCACATAACTTTCTTCGTTGTTGGTATCTAAGAAGAAAGTTTTTTTGCCTGGTTATTACTAGTGAGTCAGAGTGGGCAGGGAAGAAATGTCTTAYTCAAGTTGTTTTGCATGACTGAGGCTTGTCTTCTAAGGCTGGCAACCTAAATCCCACATACAGAATACATCAGCATTTATTTTTTAAAGTTGGAATGCATGTCTGTCTGCTGAAGCTTGCTTTTAAATTACCTAAAAACTGGAGTTGGAAGAGTGCTCTTTCTATTAAAGAGAAGGCTTTAGCTGACAATTAAAACTTTCTCTGGACAGTCATTAATTTAATTTCTTTCTGCTTTTGTCAGTTTTTACCTTGTTTCTCTGTAGCGTGGAGCTGKATGGCCAAGAGAGTTCTGGCAGAATGTCTGAACCTGTTTTGGATGCCAGGTTGCTATTGCAGCTCTGATTTGTTTTGGACAATAGTTTTTTAATTTATTGTTTTATGTTCTTGCCAAARTGACAGCTTATTTAAGTGTCTGCTAAATAGGATTCTGGTATAATGATACCTTATGGATGGATAGAAATCACAATGGTATTAGTGATATGTTTATCRTAAGAGATGAATATTACAATACGTGTAGTTTTTAATAAGTACAAGAAGTCTCTACCAAAATTCCCAAGGCTGCTTCTACTTTCTCTTGGGATGAGGTTAGTGTAAGAGTCAGACCCTTTTCCAGTGTGGAAGCAGACCATACTGTGGCTATTTAATGTCTTCTGGTATATAACTTTAGAGTAGCTGGATCAATCTATATACAACCTATGTATTGCATTGTTAAGAGCTTCTCCTAGAAGTTTTCTTGTAAAGCGTATCGATTAAGTGCTCGTTTACACTATTAAGTTTTCTTCTTCACTGTCCTTGTTCTACAAAAGAAGTAACTATGTAAAACAGGTGTTACAATGTGTATCTAAAATACTTTCGTATAGTCCTCATGATATTTTATGGTACCTTACAGTGTGACAAACAGTACCCTGTTAACAGTCTAAGATTTCTACCTTGTTAYATTTTAGCATTTTATTTTGTATTACTCTTACAAAAAAAAAAAGAAATCTACCTGCTCAGCCACTTAATTCCCTGTTTCTAAGACAAGGAGTTCTTTTTTTTATCAGATTTTTAAAAATTATTCCCATATCCAGGTTAGAAATAGCTTTTCATAACCCTTGTCCTCAACTGCCTCCTAACCATTTTTCTGCCTTATACCTACTTCTTTTTAGGTTGTTTGCGTGAAATGTAGATCAGTATTTCAAATAAGAGCATGTTACCAATTTTGTACACTCTATTTTCGTGTTTTCAGATTTTACTTTAAATCACTTTGTGTGATCAAGCATCTTGACTTATTTTCTGSCTACTGATACATTCCTGAACAGATGTTTTCATTGCATCATCAAATGTATTACCTAGTCTTTTTCAGTTTAGTCTTTTAAACCTCTGCATTCAGGAATGGCTCATCATGAGATGTGCAAATGGTGCTTTTGTTATCTGCATTTCTCAGCACGTGTCCTGGTTTTCTTCCTGCAGATTTAGCAGTCTCATTAGTGTGGGTGTGTGCCAAGGAAGCATGTTTCCTATGTTCTACTGACCACCTCATCTTATGTTGTCTTCTATCTATTCTGCTTCCCAGAGTATTAATCATATTTAACACAGGTGCTCTTCTTACAGAGCTATGAAATTTCTGGATTAAGAAATTGAATGTATGCTTATTTCAGAGTAAAGRTGTGTTCTTGATGCTTTCCATGCTACTTTTTTACAGAAGCAGCGTGGAAAAACCTTTCTTCAAATACACTTCTTTCCATGCTCAGTAATGAATTATAGGTATGAGAGGAGTGTTTCTGTAGATTGGAAGAACAAGCTATATTGATAATGGAGTTCTGTTCTTTTAGACCTCCTGTCAGTCCATAAGGTTCTCTTGCACAAGTGGCATTGTGAAGAGATCATGTAGCATGAAGCTTTATTTTTTTTGCTGACAGTTCAGGTTTTAATTGCAAATKAATCTTTTCATGGCTTTGAGGTAAAAATATGTAAAGTTTTCATTTATTATGTAACTAGTACTAAAATTACATTTTATACATTGTGGATTCTAGTATATAATGGCCAAAAAGCTGGACTCTTTTTGAAATGCATGTCCTGTCAATGTAATCTCTCGCATGTATGTTTAAACCAGGGTAAAATCCTGGCCTCTTTAAAACAAACAAACAGAAACCCTGAATAAAATACAAACCAGCAACAAAAAAAAATCCTCTGCATACTTGAATAATAATTTCTTCTTCTTAACTATCATCAGTTACAAATATCTAATTGGTGGCACTTTTTTTTTTCTTTTTTATTTTCACTGTCGTAGTTGATTGTGTAGCAAGTGGTACTGGCTCAGATTATTTGGGTAATCATTTTGCTCTTGYAGATTGATCTTGGTTAGTGGTTTAAATGCAGGCTGGTAAATAATTATGTATTCAGTCAGTATGACTTTCTTCTAAATGTAAGTGAAAAACAAGCTCTCTGATGTGTATAGTTGATTTAGCCCTTTTTTATTTCTTTTACTKTAGTCAAAAATTCTTGGGGATTTACCGAGTTTGAGGTTCCACTATTCTGATAGTATATTGTTGGCATAAACTTTATTTCAGGCTTTTATATTTTCAAAGCAAAGATATTGACAATGGTGGATTCACCATCCCTGGAGGGATATAAAAAAAAAAAACCAAACATGTACATATGGCAATTAAGGACATGTTATATTGGTGGAGTTGGCAGTGCCATGTTAATGGTTGGACTCAATGGTCTTAAAGGTCTTTTCCAATCAAGATGATTCTATGAATCCATTATTAGTGTGCATAGCATGATCTAAGAGAGTGCTCTGACTGTTAACATCTTAACTGTAATTAACAGATGCCCAATGCAAGACTGACTTCATTCAGAACAGATTATTGTAGCTTTTACTATTAAGCCTAAAGATTCGAGGTGTGATTTAACAGCCTTATCATATTCTGCTCCCTTATGCCTAATGAGTAAGTTTAGGAGAAAACATTTAAGCTATTTCAGATGSTTTTTGGGGGAAGCTTTTTCGTAATTGATTTCTGTATTAAGATTTTAACACTGAGTGGCTGCATTCCTCACTCTTAACTTTCATGTTCCAGGCTTTATTATGAATTCAAATTGCTTACTTGTTCTGTATTTAAGAAATCTTCATCAGCCCATATGTAAAAATATGTCAGTTCATCAGCTGGCCATCTTGCTTCCTTGTACAAGTCCTTAAAAATGTGTTAATATCCAGGTGGATGATTTGAAAGGGAGAGATGATTTTGCCCTAAAACTGGGCTAGCAGTGACTGTAGCCAGAATTGATGTGGCTACTTCTGTATTGGTACAGCAGTTGTGGTTCTGAAGCTGACTTACATTGRAAGAAGTTCCCAGATAGGGCTTGCTCGAAGATTGATGCACAGCAAAAACATGAATGTMCCTGGAGTTGGCTCATATGTGTGTTGTTTGCTTCATGCTCAGTATGAAGGAATTCTGCAGCAAAAGGWGAACTTTAGAGTAATAGGTGATTTTCACAATGACAATGAAATACGTGCTAAGGAAATTTTAGTAAGGTAGAGTCTTTAATATAGTCCATTTAAGATGTATGTTTTCCAAAATCAGGGTATGGATTCAGTTCACACTTTATAAAATTATTACTCTTTCTTTCATCTTACATTTTCCTTACACTGTTAATGGTAAGAACTGTGTGGTACTGTGTGCCACTAATATGGAAGGATTTTCCACATAAGTGACAAAAGMCCTTTTTTTTGATGAAGGTAATTCCTCCCTTCCTCTTGGCTAACACAGTCTTTTTTTAATGGAAAATTGCTTTGTTACAAAAGCAYTCAAGTGGACTTTAGAAGAATTGATAAAATTCAATTTGTAAGGCAAAAGAATATTTACATTAGTGTTTGCTTTACTTTACTATGTCTTTTCCGTATTTTGTGATCATCATAGGCTTTTGTTATTTTTTAGAAAACGGGGCAGTACTTAAAAGCTTGACAAATGCATCCCAGGTTGAAAAATTTCTGCATTCCTTCTCCTCTTCCTCCTTTAGAAAACTGACTTCTTTAAAGAGGTAAGTTGAATGTCACACTTCTTTCTCTAGGCAGAGTGAATTAGAACTTAGCTTCTTCTGTAGCATGCCTTATGATGTTTTAAATTAACTTCTATCCATTTCTTGTTCTGACATGGCATCTCTTTCCCTATATCAAAAAGGATGTCTTTGTAAACTTTTGTTTGCAGAGATTAGTTGTTCTGTTATTTTATAGAATTATTTGTCAGTGCTTCTGCTGAAATAAGAAACTCGTGTTACTTGAATTTAAATTATTGTAATTTCTGAATTTGTTGTATTTTAGGATATTTAAACATGCTTTAGAAATCTGAAGCAGTTCCTTGCCCACAAGAATTTGTATTCTCTTAATGACTTACTGCCAATTGCCATTTAAAAATTATATATTAACTTAAAAATGTGTTGGGAAGCTTTATATCTTATTTCACTTCTCTTTTCATTTAACAAATACTGATCGTTCTTAAGTACAAATCTTCTAGAAATCAAAACAAGTGATTGTTTTGAACAAGAACAAAATCTGAGGACAGGTGATTGCAGTCATGTAGTCTGTCTACTTGCATGGCAAACGTAATTTTTGATTGAACCTAAATAATTTTCAAAACACAACTGAAAGACAATWGGCCTGAAGCACTGAATCCTTCTTTTTCCTCATTCCCCATTTATGCACAGCACTTCAGATTAAGAGAAGAAAAGTTAAATCATTGTTAAATAATGGGACTGGTTACCCAAAATGCAACTTTTTCTATTGTAACATTGGAAAGATGTTAACAGCTTTTTATTGGGTAGGATTTTAAAGAACTAAATTTTCTTGCAAGAACTAATGTTTAACTTCTTTTTTCTTATAAAGGTAAGAGAGAAGCAAAAGAAGTAAGAAAATGCTGGGATCAGAACGTGGTGTTGTGGAAGAATGGCTGTCAGAATTCAAGGTGAACTGAGAAGATGAATGATAGCTAAACGATTGGCTTAATGCCACTGAACATAGTTGTGGGGGTTTTTAAATATCTAATAATTAACATTTTAAGTATCTATTACTTCATCTTTCAGATTCTTATAATGCATAAATCATGCAAATGTCTTGTGTAATTGAGTTGGCTGGTACAGAATATATTAATGCATAATTCTAATAGTAGTTTATTTTTATTGTTTATTATTCTAGAGCAGAACAGTGCAATAGCAATGTGGTTTTTTATAACAGATATTTTGTGTAGGTCAAGCTGATAGAATTTAACTAACTAGCTGGATAACACTGCCCAAATTTCCAACTGAGGAACTTTTAAATTTAAAAATACTTAGTATATGTTTATTTGGACTTAAGAAAAGATCAAAGAAAAATACTTTACTTTTTCCCTGCCTATGGTCTGTATAACAGTAATCATTTTGTTGTGAAGAATCTGAAGTGTTTTTAAGCTATTTTGCGTGTTGATAATTGCACTGAGTAAAGTACGGGATAATGTATAAGTAAGAAAACAGGATTTCATGACTGATAAGAAATGAGTCTGTTATTTAAATTATGAACCAGTAATTCCTCACAGCATGGATGAGAGGAAGTCATTATGTGCTGTCATTGGAAATTTGTTTAAGATCCAAGGATGCAAAATCCACAGACAAGGTTGCTTGGGCAAGACTCAGGGCTGTCCATGCTTGTTCTGTACTATCCACACCCCTTAAATAAGTTGGGTTGATTTGACAAAGTCTTTTAAAAAGCCTGTTGAATACACARTATCAAGAAAGAGTCCTCATGTCAAACKGGAGCAAATGATTTTAGAATCTAAACTGCTTTTGGATTTAACCCTGAAAGTGATTATCTGCTCCCAAATGCTATTTGTGTGGAGATGGACTTGTACTCAACAAATAGGTTACAAGTCTGAAAATTTACYGAATTTCAGAACTTTTCTTTGATGTTGGGATGAGACTTAATTTTCTTRTGGAGATCTTAAATACTTGGAAGTATTTATTTGTCACAGTAACCTTTTCTATTTCTTTAGGCATTACCTGAATCMCAAATTTCCAGCTATGCAGCTACATTGCACCGAAAAAAACCATTGGTACCAGCTCTTTATAAGGTTATTCAAGACCCAAATAATGAGGTAGGAGATTTAAAAAACCTATTTTTATTCTCATTCCTGGATCTTTGACAACTAAAACTAAATTACTGGAGAGGAAGACTTTTCAATTCTTTTTTCTAATGTAKTCTAACATGGGTATCATCCCTCTTTATACTCTCTTGTTTTTTTGGTGTTTACTTTAATGCCTTTTTAGTCAGACACAATCTTATTTGCTTCCAAAGTACTGTTTATGCTGTCTGCTGGATTTTCCTTGCTGCAGCTTACTATTATGTTTTATTTGGCATGAGGTTTTTTTGGTATTTTGGTTTGGGTTTTTTTTCTGTTGTTTTTTGGTGGCGTTTGAGTTTGGGGTTTTTTCCTTTGTTCTTTTTAGTTCCCAGAAACCATTTTTCAGTCAYAACTGAGACAAAATAGGCCTTATAGTGAAACTCAAAGACCAGTGTGCTTCTCACATGGTGGCTTATTATAGTGGAAAATGGAATCAAGTTTTTAAATGCTGTTAAGATAACAAGACCTTGTGCTGATGGCAGCACCACTTTTGTGTAATTTGGTTTACACTGCTGTAAACATGAGCAAAACCAGGGCCCCAAAATATAAACAGGCACAATGAAAACTTAGCTTACCCTTGTACATAATTCATTTTGCAACTGGCATTAAACTGAGCTTTCCAAGCTGTTGCTTCTGCTAGGAGCATTTCTGGGCAAATGTGTGAAATATAACTTTGAATAAATTGTGCAAGCATGCYGTTCTCTGACGTGTAAACTGCTTTAGATAAAATACTTACAAATACTTGATGTATCATCTGTGATCTCTTATATATTTATAAATTAGATGGGTTGTGTACACAGCAAGGAAATTCTTTATTTTCCCAAGTACAGCTCAGCTGCTTTAGGAAGCTGAATGCTTGATTGAGCTTCAAGGAGATTGCATAATGCTCATGCAATTTAAAAAAAATAAAAAAAAGAGGCTTCCTAGCTGTCAGCTTCATTTCAGTATTATAAATAACCTGCATAGTGATCTTTTTTTTGTACTGAAAAGCTACTGTTATTCTCTCTTGAAGCCACTATTGCTGCTGCTTATGTATTTGTGTTGTGTAGACTCCTGAAAATGTAAAAGATTTCTTGTGCTTTGAGAAGGATTTGATTTTTTTTAAATGAGCAAACAACCAGATTTGCAAAAAGAGTATCTTTCTAGGGTGATCTTATGATCAATGATGKTGCTCAATGATGCTTGTCAAATATTACCCTTTGTTAAACAACTGKTGCTGTTTAGTTCTGATTCTGATACGAGGTATGAAATAAGCAATCCTAATAGACACTAAGATGTCTAACTTCAGGTTCTACTTGTTACAGCAGGATGTATTTCCTTGTTGCACTTTGAAACTTTTTTGCATGTGAGGAAACTACCCACAGTGAATTCATTACTTTACATAATTCTGTAGTAATACTTTTCTCTAACTGAGAGGGTTTTTAAAATGTGCTTTGTAGGGTGTTATTTGTTAGAAGGGTAATTCATGGCTTATGAGGATTAAGCATAYGTGGTAGGCTGTTATAAAAACACACTTTCTGTATTCTTAAACTTGATGGACAAGTAGTTCTTTAGTACAGCTTAATCATGAAGTTGACCTATTTTTAAAACTTCTGAAAAGTGGCAAACTGTTTAGCGCAAACCTGGATTTTTCTAGAATCAGATAGTATTCGAAATCAAAATTGAAGTGCTTTTGAAGTACTGTTTTTCAGATAATTTTATAATTTTTGGGGTTGGTTTATTGCTGTAGACAATACTCTGGATGTCAAGTTATTGCACTACTGAAATTTAAGTATTGAATATTCATATGAGGCTAATTAGGTTTAACTCAGAAAGGGCAGCTTGCTGTGAAACAGAATGAGATCACCTTTGCAGTGCCAAGCACTCCCAGACCCAGTACTCATCAAGTAATAAATTGTTTCACCCATTATGTTATAGTTACATTTAAAATGAGCACATTCTCTTTTTTACAATTGAATTCTTCAAAAAGACAAGCATTTCCAATATTYATCATGCATTTTATAAAACATTATATTTAACTTCAAAACAGTACTTTTAAGATTTGGGAAACTTGTAAAATGAGCCAAGGAAAGCTATTCATCATCTTCCTGAAAAYATGACTGGTTTGCATCTCTGTGAGATGTAAAATGAAGAGTGAAAATTARATCATTGACACTTGCTGCATATTTAAGCCAGTAAAAACATCATTWGTTTTTTATGCTTATTGCTGTTTATGCTAATGGGAAAGCTCTTATAATTATTTTGTTTGTCAGGAAAGAGAGAGGATTATAAGAGATATTTTACTTTGGATTTTTGTGCTGATTTCTGTGCTTCTGTTTGCTTTGACTTTGGGCTGAAAGATCTTTGGAATTAAAAACTATGTGCCTGCTCATGTGTACACCCACTACTGATGACAAAAGCCCCATTTCCTCTATTTATCCAGTGTCTTCTCAGTTTGTATATTCAGAAAATTACYTGGAAGAGGCTGGCTCTTTGGAAAACTGGATTAACTAGGATGCAAAGAAAACATTTGTGCTTTCTTGGAGTGTTAAATTTTATGGTTCCAGGTGGGAGACTAATGTACCACATTTTAAYAGGAAAATCCTGGGTGTTGGTGCTTTTGAAAATACTTGTGTTGTAGCATCTTGGTTATGGCAGCTTTTTTTTTGTGGACTTGCAGCTCTGGACACACCAAAAGTGCATTCTATAGTAGTTGCAGGTTTTTGCCTAAGTAATTGCAGTTAAACATTTTCCACAACAAATGTGACAAATACTAAAAGTAAGGGGAATTTGAATGCTTGCAGCACCACTGAGTGGATGTTGCTTGTATCTTTCTAGGAAGMATGGGTTCACTTAAAAGGTTAATTTTATAAAGTTTGAAAGTAGGTGGAATAAACTTAGTAATTGCTCTGGTTGAGTTTCATCTGACTTAGCTAAAATAATTTTTTCTTTTCCACTCTTTTTAAYGGGACTTGGATTAGACTGGCTGATTTCAAATAGGAAACAGCTTTGGGCTGCTGTCATCTCTAATCTAATACAAGTACTATTTATAGCATTGCCATTGTATATATCTGGTGTCAGATAATAATTTTAGCTTTTCTTGCACTTGTTAGCTCCCTGCAGATATGCTTGTATGTTTTGTTTTCAGAGATTTCTTTTTCTTCTTTCTGTTCTCATCTTGATCATGTTTTCCTTTAAAGAAAAATCTACAAATTTATTTAGTGATGTCTGAGTTATTTAGTAACCACCTTTCTAATTTCAACATGTGAAATGTGTACGGCCTCTCATAAAACAAGGATGCAGTTCTATTTCTGAGGATTTGAACATTTRCAGTAACAGTTGGTTTTAATAATTATTACCACTTTTAGACAGGAGTTTCTACTAAGTAAATATTCATTGAGAAAGGATATACTTAAACCTCTTTTGAACATAAAGTGCTATACATGTATGAAATACTGGAATAAATATACTACCAGAAAGCTATATAATTTTTTCCTTAAAATGATTGTAATAGAAGCTTTACAGACTTCTAATTTAATTTAGATGCCAAGCCAAGAGTTAAGTGGTCTGTTGTTTTATATTTATCAGTCTATCTGTCTGTCTATACGTGTACATATATATATGTGTGTGGCAAGACAGACAGATTTATATGACTTGTAAAAATCATGTGTTCTAAATGACTGGACAGCTCTCACTCTGTATCAACCTTGTCCATGTCAGCTTTTTTCCCTCTTCCTGTATTCTCTCTATGCTTCTATTGTAAATGCTGGCTTCTAGCTTAGAGTAACAAGTCTGTCAATCAGRAGCCTTGTTACACAAGGTACTTACACCAGAGCTTTGTTTAAGAAGTGATTTCTCTGACAGCTGAGTTTTATTTKACGTAAATGTCACGTTATGGCTTACGTAATCAGTGGTTAAATATGGTGTGGTACATTGACCAGAATACTGKGTATTTGAAATGAAACCGTTTCCTGGGTGATGCTCTCTTAAGGCAGCTATCTTGGTAGACAATTCTGTCAAATTTATGATTTAGGTTTGTGTTATACCAGTGTAAAATATCCAAGTGTAAATATATGTTTGTGAAATTGTATATTCATAGAGCGTTGTGGCATTGCATATTTGCCAAATATTCAGAATATCCACTTGAAGAAATGTTGGTCCCTCTGCTGTTAGCAGGGATTTTAAGTTTTTTAGGAATGTGGATGTTTCACAATAAACCACAGAAAYAGATCCTTGTGCAGAATAGCAAAAGAGTGATTGTCAGTTCTACAGTAAATTTGAGGTATTATGATTGTGATGATCAGACAAATTAAGGAAAAATAATGCATCAAAGTCCATGAAATRTGCTGCTAATGCTCTGAAAGTCCTAAGATGCATATGCCTGGGAGTGAAAGAGGGAGTCATACACTTTATCTAATCTTCTGTGTATGTCTGGATGTATAAGAGAGCTGCATGAAGCATGTGCTGTTAGAAAGAAGACTTGAGATTCTGGCCTCTCTAGCTCTTCTGTATGAATGTAGATGCCTTAGGTTACATGTATGCCTCTGTCTTTTTGGACAGTGAATCCTATAAATATTTTCCTTATGTCAGATCATCCCATTTCATAGAACACAATATTAGATAGTRGTGACAAATCATACAAAAATTAATTTTTGAAATTTAAAACTACTTTTCAGGTTTTTTTCCACCCCAGGTTTTTTTTTTTTAAATTTTGGTATTACATTTTGGTTAGTCATGGGAAAGAATGAGACTGTTTAGTGTGGTTCTTTCTGCTTTTTTTCCCATTCCTTAACAGTTCCATGGATGCATCTTTGCTATTCAGTTAACATAGTAGACTCTTAAAATGACAGGTTTACCTTGTGCTTATATCACACAATATTAGCATGACTTGATAAGGGCCCTTTTTTGATTCTTATACTGAAACCTGAAGTGCAGCTCAAAATTAAAAGATCAGTTTGCATTGTAATGAGCATGCACTGTTAATTAGTTTTGAGATTCCAATGGTGTAGGTAAGAAATTATTTCATATTTCTGTCAATGGATTTGTCATTAGCAGCTAATCTTTGACCTTTGTACTTTTATAGACCTTACACCTGCACTAAAGTTTTATGGTGCACATAGTTCAAGCCACATGTCTGTCACATGCCTTAAATTAGTACCTGTGTAGAAAATACATCTTGTACTGTCAGTCCTAGAGAAGAATCTTCTCAAAGCACACACARTTGGTGGCTGTAGTAAGGCCACATTTCCAAATACTGCTCACCAGTGCCCCTCAGCTATGTCCTTATGGATCTCCATAAGCAGAATGCAGATTCCACTGGCATTCATTCACTCACTTGCCATTAAGGAATGCAATTTTTACTGACTGTGGTGGCTATATGACATAGCCCCTGTATTTGTTGTTATATTTTCACTCTCCCTTGGTAGAGAACCTGCCAGTAAATCATTAGCTTTTTTGTCTTTCCACAGCTCCTGGAGCCTGTTTGCCACCAGCTCTTTGAACTTTATCGTAGTTCTGAAGTTCGGCTCAAGMGATTCACGCTGCAGTTTTTGCCAGAGTTGATCTGGGTTTATCTGCGTCTCACTGCCAGCAGGGACAGGCAGAGTAATGGTTGCATTGAAGCATTGCTGCTTGGCATTTACAACCTGGTGAGTGAGAGGAGTGGGAAAGGCTGAGGAAAGCTTTGATCTGAAGTTTTGCATCACTGACTGCTAGGAATAAAGTAAATTATTGGAACAAGACTTTAAAAAGCAAAATACACTTAAAGGGAAATGTGTTTGATATGGAGGCAAGCATAATGTAATAAAGGTTTAGTAAAGAGAGGTTTGCAAATTTTTTTTATAGCTGTCTTTTTTGGGAAAAACATTTTCATTGAAAAGGATCTCATGGGCCTTATCAAACTTCTAAATRCTTCTGTTTGTAAGGAAATTAGGTAGCACTCCTTAATGTTGCAAAATGCAACTTTTTATGATTGTCAGGCTAATACACTTAGTCAGTCCTGATGTGTCACTTCCCCTGGCCTCCCACTTACTCTGATCTGAATGTCTTTTTTAAGGGTAATTTGAAGATGAAACCACTCTACATGTGAGCACTCAGATACGTGCATATGTGATTTCAGTCAGATAATTGTCTTGAGGGCAACTGTGGTTTTAAGAATAAGTAAAAGTAACTGTAAATTACTAAATTTGACTGATGGAYGTAAAAGCAGTTTTTTGTATTCTCACCCTAGCCTGGAGWTATTTCCTTTTGTAATGTTATGAGGCTGTTTGGTAAATTTAGCAATACTGCCACAATAGGCATTCTCTAGTGGGAATTTCTGTGGCATAGGATCTTAAAACATACGCTACTGAAGCATCACCCTTCCCTCTAATGTCCCTGTAAACCTCTCCTTTAAATTGTGGGTTGTAGTTCTACACATAAGACCCAGAACAGCCAAACTGTGATTCTTAAAAATAAAATGTATTCTAACTGGAAGATCTAGTTATTTTAGATTATTCTGATAGAAAAAAACCACTGGAAACTGCTTGCTGATTTTTGATACTTTTTACTGGATTGAAGTAGCATGTTTATCTTCCTCCCATTTTTTAATGAAGATTCTGCAGTTCCTTTGAAAGTCATGTTGATGATTCATATTTTTTAAGGGCAGTAATTTCTTCATTGTCTGAAGATTCAGAAAGAATGAGACCTCAAAATGGACAGTGGATCCCTGTGTTTTTCATCTTTAAGGAAGTTGATATTTTTCTGCACATATACTGAGAGTGAACTTATTTTCTCAATATTTATAAAGTGAAAGAAATAAATGTATCTTCTGCTCTGGCAAATTCTGTCAGCCATCTTCCTGTTGTAGTCCTTGAAGCCTGCTAAGATTGCTGAGCTACCTTGGGCTAAATTTTTACATAAACTGGAATGACTGGAGTTATTGTTTGAAAATTTGCTGTACAAAGTGCAGAGGCAGGRTTTTAGACTCCTTTTTGATACAGTCTTATGTAATTGCTCTTAGTATATTTTCTTTTAAGATTGCAGTTTGCTTATGTAGTAACCTAGCAACTATAAAATCTGACCAGTCTGAAAGCCTTTGGAGAAAACATTGTGTGTGTTTCCTCCTGAGGAAACTTTGCCAGTCCCCTTGATTTCACCTTTTCTCTGTGGTGCATTTATTATGAAATAGTGCCCATTGACAGCAAGTGACTCATCAGCCCTCCTGTGTCAGTGTCCTTAGCCTCACTGATCAGGGGCACAGCACTGAGGTTTTTTTAAGTATTGCACACTGATTCTGCAGAGCAGTTTGTGATAGAGGTCTTTTCCCACTTATTAAATATGTATGTTGATAATGTTGCTATTCTGCAAATGCACAAAGCGCGTGGGTGTTAATTGTCTTATCAGATCAGGACATCAAACTGATTTTTTAAATTCCTTCCAAGAGGTGAAAGTTATTCCAGCTCGTATCTCCTTCTGTTTGAATTCTGGTTTTGTTTTTAATGCAGGAAATTGCTGACAAAGATGGAAACAACAAAGTTTTGTCTTTCACCATMCCTTCATTATCTAAACCCTCAATATATCATGAGGTAAGAAAGCTGCWGTGATTAATTAAAATTGGATCTATTAGAGGAATGAAAAATGGATCCATTTGATGCCACAGGCCATTTTAGATGCATCTAGTTGCAGYAAGTTTTCAATGTCAGTAGCTTGCAATTAGTGTAATAGAATGCAATAGAATTTGTAGAAGAAAAGCAATATAAATGTTGAAAAATCTTTGCTGACTGCCCATTTTTAATAGAGGTTAGTTATTTTGTAATCACAACTGTAATTTTTTTTGCCTCTTACATGCTAGTATAAAAGTAGTCTTCCTTCTAGCTCTTTTTTTTTCAAGTTCAGTTAGAACTTGAAATTGTGCTTTCCTTTCTCTCCTGTTTCTGGATGAAATATCTRTGTGATTAGGACAAACTTACTGTACATGGATATGTAAGAATCAAAAGTTGAAAATTGCTCTCACCTGCTGTATTACTTTTAAGTGTGGGCACTTTATAATAATGAAACCAGGTAATGCTTTTAGATTTACTGTTTTGTGGGGTAATCTTCATTTTTACAGATCCTGAGATATGTGTGTCTATTGCCTTGGGTAGTTAGGAGTTTTAATGCTTTTGGGGAATTTTTACTTACAACTTGACTTCTCCCCACTCCTTCCTTCCTTCTCCCACCACGTTCTTCTAGCCCTCTACCATTGGATCCATGGCTTTAACTGAAGGAGCATTAAGTCAGCATGACCTTATCAGAGTAGTTTACAGTGATCTTCATCCTCAAAGAGAAACCTTCACRGCACAGAACCGGTAGGTGGATGTACTCTTAACATTAAAGGTGATTTRTTAGGGAGACAAGTCCTTAAACAAGACCAGATATATTTTTTGATCAGTCATTTCTCGGCATTAAGTGCTTGGAAATAAATCTAGAGAACAGCCCTGGTAATCTTGAGGTATAATTTTCTTTTGCTTTGTTCCTTCCTTGTATGTTCTTCTAGTTAATTAAAAAGAATAACTTCTCTGTCATTTCTGTGTTTGCAAGGAATATCATTGGTTTTATGGCTGTCTATGCAATTTTTCCTGCAATTGTAAGAAAATTCAGCTTTGGATCAGAGGCGGTGACTCCTTTTTCCACAGGAAAAGGGGAATGGAGCTAAGTGGATAGAAAGGACCAGGAGTGAAAGAAATTGCTCTGCTGTTTAGTGACTGCCAGCTTTATCTGTGTCTAAATGATGCAGATACTGGGAAAACTGATAAAATAATTTTAATCCATCACAGACATTTCCAGTTCTACAACTGTCCAAATATTATGGCATATCMTATTTCCTTTATAGTTCCTGCTAATGGCTTTCAGGAATAATAAAWGTAAGTGTTTATAGTGAAACTTTGATAGCTTTTTTCAAGTTAGAGAGCTATAAWGGAAAAGGATTAAAGGTGTGTGTTACTTCTGACACTTCTTCCTGTGGGRTGCTTCTTGAGATTGAATTGTAGATTTCTTGTGTTAAATGTTAGTGAAATATTATGAATATAAACAATGCGATATTTTACTCTTTTCAGGTTTGAGGTGCTGAGCTTTCTTATGCTGTGCTACAATTCAGCTATTGTCTACATGCCTGCTTCTTCTTACCAGTCACTTTGTACGATGGGTTCCAGGTGAGACAYCTGCCTTTGAAATAGCCTTCAGGGTCATCTATAGACTTTTAAGTATTCATGCAGTAAAGTGCTTTCTCATGGGGATGGATTAGTTCTTTGTATGCTTCCATCATTTTCACTTGAGTAGTGGCTGTGCTAAATTTACCAAATATGTTTATTTTTGCTGCAACTGAAAATTAGAATCTATTCTTTGAGTAGAGAAGCAAGACAACATTTTACATACAAGGGATTTCTGTTGTTTTGGAAGCAGTACAGCAGTTGCTATGTATCAGTGACCATGTGTTGCTTCCGTGATGAAGATTCAGACAGCAAATTGATACAATAAGTACATAATAAATTATTCTGTTTTTTGTAGGCAGTATATGGGAAGGCAGGCCCCTTTTTCAAGGGGCAAAAATACTTTTTACAAGGCAGCTGAGAGCAGTTCTCAATACTATGGTATGAGTGTTATCTAACTTTAGGTATAAGGTGACTGCATGCTGTCATCATGCATTAGATGGGAGATCACATACTTCTCTTCTGTACCTCTGAAATGTTTCCTTTAAAGAAAATTGGTTTTAGTTCCTGAATTTTAGGGAGAGTCTCCTGGCTGGTAATAGAGAACATGTTGCTACCCTCATCCTTTAGAAGCTGRTTATGATTTGAGGCAAAGAGGTGGAGTTGTTGGCTGTATGGGAGTAACACAGTGGACTATCAGTGAGCTGCGTATCACGGCACTGCTGCAAAACTGCTCTAATGATTAGGACTACAACATAAGAATGTTCTGTGATGTGTATTTATATTTTGAAAAATAAATTTGCAAATTAAATAAAATCTCTGTGTTATGATGACATCTGTAGTCTTTGTGGAGTTAATACTTTCTTGTTATGATGTTTTYTTTAGGCTGTGTGTGAGTGGATTTCCACGGCAGCATGAGAAACCCTGGAAAGAACACTGTGGTAGAGTGGTGTTAGACCCTGACTTCATGGTGCAGCTGCTCACAGGTGTCTATTATGCCATGTAAGTGGACACAGTTTCCTTACCCAAAGAGAAAGGTCTGCTTTTCTGTGAATTAAAATATAAATGTCACTTGTTTTATAATTGAAAAAAAATAGAGGCGTAACACAAGTTTATACTCAGTCAGTGTATTTTCCATTATTTGCTCGTTCAGCCAACAGATGGTTTGAAAATATTTTTTGTCAACACTGAATTAGGTGATGAAGGGCCAGCAGTAGGTGCTGAAGGGAGTTAGGCTTCTGGTTTCAGCTTTTTCCACCTTACCACTGCCACAGATTCCTTCTGTTCACAAGCATAATGAGCTTGGGTGCCAAGATAAACTGATTAAATGCAACCTCTTGAATGTCAGTAGCATCTGAGGTAGCAAAAATACATTTCTGGTGAAAATTCAGTTCTGCTAAGTAGCATTAACACTTGCATATTGACCCCRTTTTTTTTTAAAGTTTATCCTGATTACGGCATCAGTTTTGTCTTGYTTGGAGAGAGCATGGAACAGCCTTCTCATTACACCAACAAGATAATAAAAAAAATACTTTGTACTGTTGAAAGAAGTGAATGTACACTGGGGTGTACATACAGTTGATGCATTTTTTACGTGAGCAAAGAAGTTAAAAACTGGATTTGGGCAGAAAAAAAGACAAGTTTTTTTTTCATAAAATGTGAAAGATAAATAGCTGTCTTTACTTTTAGATATAATGGTCAGTGGGAACTTGGCCAGGAGGTATTGGAGGACATAATTTACAGAGCACAGCTTGAACTCTACTCACAGCCCCTGCTGGTAAGAAACAATCCATTGTAATTTATGGGCTTGCTTAAGAGGAGTATGGATGTGTTTTTGAAGTGGACTGGTAATGAAAGCTTTTGAATCCATTCACTACACTGTCAAATGCAAGTGATTTGTTAAAAGCTGGTGTTTTCAGCACAGCTATTCATACCATACTTTTTCTGCTGAGTATTAAGCGAGGKTGTTGGGATCTCATAGGACTCATTGAGGCTGAAAGCTAGGATTTTGCTAATATATTGCAGTTGGCTCAAAATGTTTATRTTGTTTTGACATAAGCTACTGATGAGTGGTTCAAAGAAGCTTAACTGAATAGTTGTATGTGATAGGACATTGGTTGCAAAAAAACGTGTTTTCTTTGCTTCTAGACCTTCATCAGGGCTGAGAATAACTGTAGGTTTTAACTGGTAACATAGAGAAGGCAACAGCAGGATAGAGGTGAAAGTGAAAAGGAGCTCCAATCCCAGAGTCAGTGCCAGATTTGGTTTGATAAAAGTCATGCAGATCTTAATCTTTACATTCTTTGGAGGAACAGCAATAAAATTGAGTAGTTCTGATTGTTTGGGGTGGGGATTTTTTCAGTTTTCACTGTATGTGCAGTTCCAGTCATAAAAAGAGGGGAAAAAAATGGGGAAGGTGGTGAAATGGGACTGGATGCAGGTGGATGTGATTGGGAAGGATGAGAACATTGACTGAAATGAGAAATTTTTGTCAGGTGTAGGAACGAGAATCTAAAGAAGAGGGAAAATTAAGGAGAATAAAGTAAAATAAATTGCTGTTTCAGTTTCTGCATCAGAATTGTGGCTAGAAACCTTTAGTCCTCCTCTGAACAGCAGTAAAATGTCACTGCTTTTTACATAACTGACAAAGGACTGGATTGGCGAAAATCTTTTTATGGGGCAATCTGAGATCACTCTTTTCTGAACTAAATTATTCTCTAGCTGTCTGTAAAATTTATCTACAGGCTTTCTGACACTGCTGTGTTTAAAATGCTTGGTATCCATTGAATTATTCTAATAGTTGGTTCCTTTTGGAAATGACTCATCACTCCATCAGATTGAAAGTATTAAATTAAATATTGAACCTGCTGAATTGGGCCATCCTATCAAACTATTACATTTTAAAAGCATGTAGGAAGATCTGGAACTTGATGATATGACAATTTTTAGTTTTCATTGTTCATTTTTAATCAGTTTGTCCTTAGAGATTACTTCTAGTTGTAAGAATCTTCCAGAATGTCTGGGGTTGTTTTTTTTTTCCAAAGCTCCTATTGATTCTCTGTCACATTGTCTGGTGTTAGTGACATCATGACATCACCAGTTTTTACCCCTTCCTGATTGTCAGGTTTTTCCTGCATATGCATGCAGGCCTATTGGTGGRTTTTTCTTCATAGTACTCTGATCATTGCCTGCTTCCTGTCTTGTTTTACRAACATTTTTCAAAAGTAGCTTTAAGAGAGTGTTGCTGTCATTAAAAAATTTACCTGCACATCTGTGCCCTAATGCTATATTTTCAAGCAATTATACTTTTTCAAAAATTTGAGCTCTTTGTCTCCTTGCATTCTTCAGGAGATGTGTATAGTTTAGCAGCATTATAAAATTCTGTATTTTAAACCTAAAACTGCCAGCACCAAATAAGTATCATCTGGAATGCTTCACAGCTGAGTTTCTAAGTTCAGCTGCTGCCTAGGATTTCCCAACAGCAGCAAATTCTTTGAAGTCTATTTAATATTCAGGCAAAACCCCACATTAGATTATTTTTAGATATCTGTACTCARGGTATTTGTAATTATGGGAATACCATCAGTCATCATTACAACAAGAAACATTATGATCCCTGTGTTTGAGTATGTTTCTAGAAGAAACATTTTTGACAATTTAGTAGATCCATGCTCTTATTTACATAGGTTGTTATTGCCTACAGAGAGAAAAAAACAAACAAACAAACAAAAAAACCCTAAAAAAATCCAAGTGGAAAAATAGCATCAGAAAGCAATGCAATATCTGTAATGTAGAAGTGGACTTCTGTCACTCTTACCAGAGACTGCAGTGGAAAGGGCAGGAAGTAACTCAAGGGAAAGGTYTTTTCTGGTTAAAGAGAAGTGTTTCTGTTAACAAACACTGGGTATTGGTCAGGAAAACCAAGAGCTTCTACAGAGACAAACGTCCCGTGTATTTTATTGATGTATTTACTGCTGTTATTGAATTTTCTTTCCATAGAGCTCCTTTCTGGTAGGCAAGAGTGGAAGTCTGGCCTGAAACCARCCCTCCTTTGTCACTGAGAGATGCAGGCGTTGCTTGCCAAGTCTGAATTGTGCTATGTGTTTGTTTTCCTGCCTTTCAGTGCTGGATTGGACACCATGAGCAAGTRTTTTTGCATCCTGAAAGATCGTGGTTTTAAGCATGTTTTTGTCAGACAAGGACTGTGAATCATTCAGACTGTTCAGATCGTTTCAAAGATTTATGTTGCATTAATTTTTKTCTCCATATGGTTTTCCTCAGTCCCCAGAAGTACAATTTGTGCTGTTAGAAAGGGCCAGCTGTTAAAAGCTTCATCAGCTTCATCAAGCAGAAATGCTCTGTCACGATTCTGGCCATGTTGCAGAAGTATTTTGCTACAGATTTTAGATTTTTTGTACACTGACAAAGGTACCTATTCAAAAGAGGSAGCAACTCCAGTGAGTAGAAGATGGGAAGACAAACAGTTGTGTAATGTTAAACTTGATCTGCTTTGGTTCAGTCAGCAGAAGTTTCTGCAGTCTGTAGTAGGATCAAGGATAGGGTGAATGCAGTTTGTACCATTTCAAGCAGATGGCATGGGAAAAGATCTAGGTATGAACAGGAGAGCAGATCTCTAATAAGTGTTGAGGCTGAGAACTGGTCAGCAACAGGAAAATCAGTGCTGGACAAGTGAAAAGCAGAGTGATGTGGAGCATTTCTGTGGTGATGCCAATGATCTTTAGTGCTGGTTAGAAATCAGACAGTAAGGCAGTGGGAATGATGTTTAGTGTAGAATTACAGGATCAGCTATGTGGCTGCAATTCCAGTCCCTTAGGACTAGTATTTTTATGGCTGGTTAGTTAATAAATGTATAATATTAGTAAGGTTTTGGAAAGGTGTTTTATGGTGGTGCTTGGGGGGCGGAATTTGAAGCTTCAAGTAATATTTTGTRTGCATCAGCTTTGTTATTATTGAATATTGCACATGCCATAGAGGACTAGTTTGCTTTTCTGGAGCTGGTACACAAGTTCACTTTTTTTTAACAATTTACTTGTAAATTAGGAAACATTACTGAAAGTTGCTTTTTTCTCTTTTAAAGCAAATCTCTAATCCCACAAAGGCATTTTATGGGAAACTTAAAGAAACAATTGAAACATCAAAACCAAAAGAGATCATTTGTTTGCCTCAAAACGGCAAAACATAACAACTTCTGACTTTACAATAGGCTATTACAACAACAAAAAAATAGGTTTAATAAAAATGAATGTATTTTAATRATTTGATGTTCAGTGCTTAGGTTGTAAATATTTTTTTTTTTCCCTAAATAAATCTTGCAAGTACRTGCAGTCTAATCCCCTCAGTTAGGTTCTGTTGGGGTTGTTTTTGGGGGGGTGGGGAGCAGCATGTGGAAAGGTGTGGTGGAAATTGGCCTTGTCCCCCTGTGCACAAGGCTACAGGCTGTTTGCATTGGCTGGGGATGTTACTTAGTTTTATTGACACACTTCTCATAAAGCATAAATGGTATTTGCCTTGTCATATTGCAGTTTCTTTTGGATGGAGACCTTCCTGTGTATGTTGTTAATGTCTGTCAGTACAGATGGCTAAGATGGAACTAAATAAATTACCTCAAAGAGTTCAAGAAATTAATTCTGGTTTTGAGAATAGGTTTGTGATGAGCTTTTAATGTCGTTACTAACTGTGAATCGTGGGGTTTGGGTCATCCATCTTCAGGGGAATCTGTCATGATTACCAGTTCTTGCTTGTTCTCCTTTCTGTATGCAGCAAGAGATCCAATATTGCCATTAGAGCAATCAAGGACAGTAGCTAGTACAGCTTCTTCCTTTTATCTTAGGTTGCAAATGCCATGAAGAATTCGCTGCCCTTTGATGCTCCTGATGCATCACARGAAGGCCAGAAGGTACTGAAAGTAGAAGTCACTCCAACAGTTCCAAGAATTTCTCGGAGTGCTATTACAACAGCTTCTATCCGTCGTCATCGCTGGAGAAGAGAAGGTGAGCTTTCTCTGCCAAGAGCACTCATTRTAATGTACTGTAATCATCATCATCACTGTAATCTGGCTTCTGAGTTTGAGTGTTTACCAAACATTGGGGGGGCTTTTTGTTTGTTTGTTTTAGAAAAGTGATACTCCATAATAATATAGAATATTTTACATCTTCAGAGCACTGCATGAACATGAGTATTTGAGGTGTTTGTTTYGGTTTTGATTTTGTGATAAACTGTGAGGTAGGTGAGAAAATGGAGCAACTGGAAGATGCTTAATAGGACTTCTTTTTTWCTCCATGTAACACTGTATGAAATTGTAGGGGTAAAGTGGGGCTTAGAATTCAAGTTCTTTGTTTAATCTTCACTAAAACTCAACTGTGTCCCATTGTAAATAGCTCAGGGAATGAATGGCAACATCCAGACCTTAACAGGATTCCAGCTGCCTMAGGCTACTGGTGGCAGTGGGAGAGGGAAAAAAATAACCATCACACTCCTACCATCATATGGTCCAGTTTATTGAGGGGCCATAAAATAGGTTAGAATTAGTCTTCCTTTTTCCTCAGTGAGTACTTACATTCATATGAAAGCATGTTTGACTGTATGAAGAAAAAAAAACCTCTAGTGATCTTTACCTTAATGTGATGATGTCTTCAGTGTAGGTGTAGCACAAAGCTTGCTTTGCAATCACTTTGTCTACTTTTAAAGCTTTGTTACTTCATGTATAAAACATTAGTTTTAAAAAGCAGCATAAATCAAGAAGGTAAAAAGGAGAATAATGTAAGAATCAACTGAGARTAGAGTCTGAAAACAGGAATTTTGTATTTTCCTGTAGTACCTTTTTTCCCCCCCCTTTTATGTTTTATTATTCTTCTTGGTCACTTGCAAAAGGATTTGATGACCTCTGGTCTTCAGCTGAGTTAGGATGTCCAGGACAACAAGTAGCTGTCTCCTGTTTTCAGGATTCTACGTCATGTTTGTCTTCACTGTAGTTGCCATGATATTCATTTGCTGGTCTCTGGTCCACAGAACAGCCCACCCGTCCCTTTCTGTGGATGTTCTCACCACTTTGAACCAAGCATGGGTAGTGTTTTGTATTTGTTCCATGTCCGCATAAACCTATTTTCCCTGCCTGGGTTGGAATGCCAAGAAAGAACTAGAAAAGCACTAAAATGTTATGTGTTGAATCCCAGATGGCTTTGACTTCTCAATCGAGGCTGACTCAAGCATTCCTGGCTCACCGATCCAACACGGCTGCACAGACCTAGGGATCAAACGTGAGCAAGAGGGGGAGGTGCTGATGCGCAGGACCCCTGAGCATGGCTTCCCGGAGCCCACCTTGGCAGCAGCCACAACAGAGGGTAGGACAGACATGAGGAGGCAGAAGTCAGTGAGGCAGTTGCTGGAGGAGGATCCTGGCTCCCTATCCCCAAGCAGAACTTCTTTCCATTCTAGTGTGTGTTTCCGCTATCCCAGGGTGTATTAGCTTTCTTTGCAATACACACATCCCCTATATACCTAACAGCAGGTCAGGAACTACCTTTTGTTATCATGTGGGCTGGCCTGGGGCTTGCATCTGTGTGCTCAAAGACTGCTTGGCATGGCACAAAAAACAAAAAGACGGGGTGATATCCAAGAGCTTTGGGATTGCTTGGAAACTTTCTATTACTGAGCATGTTTAATATGATGGAAAGAAGAAAAAAAATGCACCGGATGAACATGAATCTAGTCCTGAAAAGTAGACAGTATGGAGTTTAAATGGATTTGGCTACAACTTACTTACAATAGCGTCTGTGTTTTTAAATKTTCAAGAATGAAGTCTCTTGTTCCCACTAAAAGTCAAGCCTATCTAAAACAGGTATACAATTGCTGATGTTTTATTTGTCAGTCGTCCTTTAATTGAAAATTCGTAACTGTWCAACTCATTTAGAGCTGGCTGTTCTACAAGTACCAAAAAAGTTCTTGTGTTTTCAGGAAGAAATATGATTGACGTGTTTCTAAAAACTTCTGAAACAATTATTGCTTTCTTTCTCATTCGTGGTGTCCACACAAATGCTGTAGGGCGTCATAGGTCTACTTTGCAGCCAAGAATAGCAGATAGAGTAGGTGGTAGAATTTTAATTTGCTTAAGTTCATCCTTTTTTCAAGTAAAGATGATTTCCTTGATGAAAGACACAGTTTTAAGTACTGAACTCGAATCAAGATTTCTCCTCAAAGGTGAAAATTAATTCCTTATAGATTTAGCTACACATGTTTTCAAGTATTCTCCTATCTTAAGTCTTCTTTTCTAGCTGAACATTCCTTTAATGTTTCCAGCCTCTATAAAGACATTAGKTGTTCATAAATGAGATTTATTTGCACACTCATATCTGAGCTGCATAGGGTTCAGATTTGTTCTTCAGGAAACAATATGGAGAATTTGGAGACTTAAATGTAATGTTATCACAGATTCATTACACTTAAACAGAGTTGCTGTCGAACAATAATTAAGATTTTATGCTTCTCTAGAAGAGATAAAAATACTTAGTGCAGGTTTTAATCTACTTGGTGCATTRTGAATTTGAGCATGCTCAGTAAATGATCCTGTCTTCTCTTAAATTCACTTTTCACTTGATCTTACTCCATTTTATAACTCTTTGCATGTGCATGATCTGAAGGATATAGAGAAGTCCTGAGCTGCAGAGTACCTTCTGGGACAGACAGGAAKTGGGAAGAGAAATTGATAAAGATGATGCATTTTAATCTTGTTGAAACCATTGATATTGGCATACTGTTGGATAAGGCATCATTCCACATTCTCTGCTTCAATACAARTGGATTGAATATCACTTCCTTCTGTAACATGAGCAATGTATGATTACATTCTTGAGCAAACAGAATTCTCCAGCTGATAGCATCTGGGAGAAGGCCAAGGAAAGGCATTTGGCTTGCTTATCAACATAGAATTGTGTGTGTATWTCCAGGGGTCTCTTACTTTTCTGATGCTAATTTCACAGAAAGTTTCAGCCAGAAAATTCCCTCTCRTAAATACCAGTTTGGTATCAAACAACACAAGGAGAGACTGATCATTTCTAGTGACATTTCAATCTTCAGSTATGGGAAGAATAAACATGCTAAAAGTAATTTTAAAAAGGTGTATAAAGCCCCTTTTCAAATCAATGTTTTGACCCCTTAAGTAGAAAAAGACAAGACTTCAAGAATGACTCAGTAAYGCTGTACAGAGTATTCTGCTTCCAGGTGGTTGCAGCTGTGGTTATGTGCACTATTTTGTGTCAGTGGAGGATCTTGAGTCTTTATCTTCAGGATCTGTTTTATATGCATCAATAGCAAATTATTTGAGGACAGATTTATTCTGATAAGGAACAGTGTGAGTCCTGAATATGCAGTGTAGTGCAATGGGTATTATTTCTATTGGGTTGCCCTGTCTTCTTCTCTTTTGGACTTAAGACAAAGAGTRCTTGGAAGGGAGTAGATTAGATTTTTAATTTTTGTTTCCTTTTTAAATTGTCTTATTGGCCTATTGGAACCAAAGAAAAAAAAGGAAAAAAAAAAAGGAGAGAGAAAACTCTGCTGTTTCCTCATCCTGTTTTTCTTCCCAGAGTGTGTAAGGACTCAAACATTTTCAAATTATTTCTGAGGGCACTTTTTAGAGAAAAAATAAGACATATTAGGAAAAGAATGTATTTGCTGAATTACTCTAATCCCATTGAGAACTTCTGTAGGTAAGTGGGTCTGAATAGACAGAAATGCTYTTGCATGTTGTCTTCTCTATCTTCTTCACTTTTGAGCACTGCTGAGCAGCTTGGGCCTCTGTATAGCTGCWGCACCCAAAAGCTTGCAACAACCCCTCTCAGTCTTTAAATTCTCTGGATAAAATGCCACTTTTTCAGTGTAACTATTCTGCCACACTGTCCCTGAATAGGAATGTGTGCTTTAGCATCCTGTTACTCAGCAATGCTTTAACATAAACTTTGAAAACTACTAATGTTCTTGGAATAACAAAAACCTTAGCAGTGTTGTGTGGAGATATCTCTTTACAAGTTCCACATCTTTCTGTTGAATATGAAGGGCTTGAGAGGGGGCTACAGCTACTTCTCTTGCTGCTTGTAATCAGACATGCTTTCATCCAGCTTTGCATGATTATGAAAACGTAAATGTTGGTTAATTGAAAAAGTGGTTTTGCTTTTGGTATGTTCCAGTTATGTCTGATTTTTATCAGTATCTTTGATTGTGTGTGGGAAGGTTGGAGGGGGGAATGGCAATGTGGTAGATTGTGAATTTTATTACTGTCTAGTCTAAGAAAAGACAGGTATGTCTCAAGGAGAAGATGAAAGCCTGGTTTGACCAAGCAGGATGGGCAGGAAGTGGGGAAAGTAATTTTAAATATGATTACAGAAAGTTAAAGTAAGTAACACACCCTTCATTTTAATAATTGCCCTTGGAACCTAAGGAGCTTCTTTTTGTAAGGGTAAAGGCTTAACCAAGGAAGAAAAACTGCAGTAACATAAGCTATWTTACCCTTTTGTTTCTGGGAGGCTAATGAGTCAAATAGAGCTACATAAAACTACAGAATCATCTCTCATTGCATTGTTTTGAGAGAGGCTGATATTGGTCTGATTTTGGAGATATGCAAATATCTTTTGTAAGCTGATGCACAATAATGGTAATTCCAWGGCAAGTTTCCTGAAAAGAGGTAGTAAATGTAGAGCAGAGTCATGAAACCTTCCTGTAAAGTTTTGGGTTTCCATTACACCTCAGAAAAGTGAAATTGGATCAGGCTATATTCCTGCTACACAGAGGTGGCAACAACATTGAAAGCTTTCTGTCTGTTCTGTTTGCCACAACGCTGAATTTCCTTAGATAACAGGAATGTTTGAGCTTCCACTCAAATGACTTTCTTAGATACTTGCCACCATGTTTCTCCTATTCCACAAAAAAAGATTTAAACAGGTTTGCTTGGCAGCAAGCTGGGTCAAGCTTACTTAACAGTAAAGCAGTACAGCAGCTTTAG